CCTGGATTTGTTTTCGTTATATATATTTCCTGAATTTCGTTAACATATTTTAATATGCACGTGTATATACGTTCTTACAGATATCACAATAAATATTCTAGGCCTTATATATACGGCCTTGCCGCTTAGAGGGAAAGTAGCATTTAGTATTTGCTCGGATCTTTCTGTTCGAAACTTCTTTCCATATACTTTACAAAAACATCTAGTTTGTAATATGAGCAGGTATAATACATTTGTTCGTCAGTTATACAGGGGGATTCTTTTAGAACTGACCTACTTCTTTGGGCTGTAGTTTTATTAAAAAGTATCCGATTTTAATGCAGTTTGCGGCAAAAGATTCGGGAAGGAGAAACATTTAGTGGTCCGTCTCGCGTTTTTTATATACAATGCCGAAAAAAAGAAAAAAATAAGAAATAACGACGCGTTGTGCCCATAAAACGTTGTTAAAAACTCTTAATTGCCATGTGGCATATCAAACGTGTCTAGTAGAGGTGTTCAAAGGTTATAAAGGTTTATAATTACTTACCCTAAAGTATCTCTCCAGGGGTCGACGTAGAGAATTCTGCGAAGTTGCTGTCTAGGATCTGTACCTATGCAGTCTCGGGTACGAGGGTATACAAATTACGAGCCTATCTGGAGGCCCCGGAAAGGTCACTTATTAGCCAGCCCGTGGGTCTGGTGGGTTCTGGAGCAGTTGGCTCTAGTAGCTCGGGGGGTAGGTAGGTGACGGAAGACGGGGACGCCTGGTGGCTACCAGAGATAAACAGGCATGTGTCCCTCGCCAACAACTCCCTGGGGCCTCAAGAGACCACACCGGGAGCTTATTAAGAGCGCAGGAGTTTACATGGCCAAACAGGGGCGACTTATTCACATTGCTTGACTAATAACATAATTACAGGTATGAGACTTGTGGGACGAATTTACAGATGAGGGGCTCAGAGCTAAGTATTAAATGTATGAAAACACAAAAACACACACATACAGAGGGGAAAAAAGGTGGGAGAGTTATGCACTTGAGTAACACTGAAGACTTATGACAAATAAAACACACTTAAAAATAATAATACACATATACCACATGTCAGATACATATATTGTACATTGTGAGATGTGTTTACAGACGAGGGGCCAAATAATATGGGATTAACATGCGATTGCTGGACATTGATATGGGGGACACGGAGAGATCCTGGCGAATATATATTTGTGGAGCTAATAGGTTGCTGAGTGTATGAGCACGCCGAGCGCGGTGACATGTTAGCAGTACAGGGTGATGTGCATGTTGACTTCTGTTAGTGGCGGACGTTGTGGGATTATGCAGCGTCGCATATATCTTAGTCCATAGCTGCGAGCTGGTCAATGACCTTACAGATTTTATTGAGTGCAAGTTTGTTTTAAATAATGAACCGTTGAAAGGCGTCTGTAGGAGGAGTGGGATGCTTAATGTGGTTGTCTGCTGTGAGTGGGCAAGAGTAGATATAGTGTTCTGGTGATCCAAGTTGGCCGCACACGCAAGCATCTGTAGTGCAGATGTTGTGCCTATAATAATACGCTGGATAAAGGCCATGTCCCGTTATGAACCGGGTGAGTTGGGGTATAGCTATGAGGTGTGATAGAGAGACTTTTGGTAGGAGATTGTAACATGCGTTCCATTCAACAACATTAACATTGTAACACGCGTTGCATTCCGTCCGGTGTCACACGCGTTCCATTCCTCTTACCATTTTTTGAGTAGGTCTTCTTTGAGAAGCTTCTTTAGATGCGATGGTGGTGCACGAATGCGTATTTGCTGAACTTCAGAACTGATGGCGGCTTTCTTTGGCTAGGGTGTCTGCGGCCTCGTTTCCATCTAGACCAGCAATGCGCCTTGATCCAGGTGAGGTGAATGCGTTGCTGGTGGTTTACAGAGAGTAGCTTTTGGATTTCGGAGATAATTGGGGAGGTGTGGCTTAAGTTTTGAACTGCCAGGAGTGAAGATTGGCTGTCTGTACAGATGCATGCTTGGTGGTAGCCGTTATTTATTATGTAGTTGGTGGCGTTGAGGATGGCCGAGGCTTCTGCCTGGAATACACTATTGAAGTGCCGCAGTACTGCCTTCCAACTGGTATGTTCATCATTTTGGTGGTAGCAAATGTAGGCGCTTCCAACTCCGTCTTCAATCTTGGATCCATCGGTGTAGTAGACCGTACGTAGCGTTGGGAGTACTAGAAGTGCCAGTGTTGTCTATGGTGATGCAGAAGTTTCTACCTTCAATGCCTGGGTGTGGGCCTTGGGTGGGGCGAGGGTTTTCATATAAGGTCGGACTGTGGGTTGTATCGTGGAAGGTGGTGTCTTTGCGCATTTGCAGGACTCTGGTTATTGTTGCTTCTTGCTCGGTCTAAGATATAGTGTGGTATGCTTGCAAGGATGATGGCCGCGGAGGTGGCTGTCGTGCGATAACCTTTGCACATCATTAGTGCAAAAGGTCTTTGGATGGTCTGTAGTTGTTTAAGTTTCCGGATTTGCATCGGCGTCGCCCATATTGCGGCAGCGTACAGGACTATGGGTTCAATCACAGTCGTGTATAAAATCTTGTTAATATATGGGTTTCGTCCCCAATTTATACCTTGAAATTGACGGGCCTTGCGTGCAATGGCTTGTGTCTTAATTTTGAGTTGCTGTAGATGTGGAATCCATGTAAGGCCTTTGTCCCACATTAAGCCTAAATACTTGAGCTCTTTGACGATTTTTAGATTTTTCTGTTGAAGTTTGAGTAATGTCCCTCTGCGACTGGCAAGTAACAAATAGACGAGCAGCATCGCCGTATGGCGGCTGGTGGCAATTCACTCCAGGGTGCAGGGAAGGATGTTTAGCCTCTAGACCTGCTCTAAGGGTGGACTGGCCCTGCGGTGCCGGAGATGGAGCGTGTAATCCGCGTAAAACTAGTTACCCTAAAGTAGGTGTTGAAAATGACCACCCTCCTGGCTTAGTCATAACTCTCCGCAATGTGTCGGTAGTGATGTTTGAAATTTCCATAGAAATGTTGGCCTTTAATTCGTCCAGTGCCCATGGTTTATCGCGATTGACACGACCCTTCAGAAACCCCATAAGAAGAAACTGACCATGGCCCTCTTGTATGGAATTTCGCGGTTTCCGTTATTTGTTATTTTTTCGGTGTTGTATATCGAAAAACCAGACGGACCACTAAATTTTCCTCCTTTCTTGAATCTTTTTGCCGCAAACCGTGTTTAAGTAGGATACTTTTTAACAAAAAACTACAGCCGAATGAAATAGGTCAGTTTCTAAAAGAATCACCTTGTATTATTTTGTAGGGATATAGGTAGGAATCTAAAGCCTTCATTTATTTTTTTTTCTATAGTTAAGTTCTTATTAACACTATAACTCAGGTTTACAGTATTTAATTTCCGCCATTTGGTTTTGTTAACTTCTACTTCTTTAAACAAGCAGGTATACGGATAATATAAACTCCGCAATTAAGTAATGTATAGTGGAATTTACTTAGCGTTTCACGAGTATTTCAACAAAATTATGTTCATCATTTTCGAAACACACCTATGTAGTGGTTGAAAAAGCCATTTGTTTAAATATCATTGAGATCTTTAATTATATTTCAGACAAGATACAGACTTTTAAGGCTTAATTGTTTATCAAAATACATTTGAAATGTAACAAATCATAAAAACATATTGTTTAATGCCAAAAGAAAAGACAGAGACAACACAGTACAGCAATATGTTATAAAGTATTTTTCCCCTCTTTTCAGTACGCCTTCGTGGTGTAACGGTAGCACACTCGGCGCGTATTCGAGAGGTCCAAGTTCGAGCCCCGGCGGGGGGGGGAATTGCTTATTTTTCATGTCTGCTGCTTTAAAATAACCTAATGACTCTACAGTGTTTATGAAAAATGCTAATTTAAAATGTCTTTCAAAGCAAGAAATCTTAATTTATTAAATTATTCTTTGCTCACACAAAAGCACGAACAGAATACTATGAAAATGCCAACGATAATAATTTCAAATCTCATGAAGACAATATAATTGCGAAATACTGTCAATATTACACAAAATTTTATTTTGGACTTATCAAGCTATAATTCAGCGATAGTTGTTACTCATGAAATACTTTGTGATAAGCTTAGTTGATAGTCACTTGATGAAGGCAAATCACATGAAAGCTATCTGGAAAAGATAGGAAAGCCTTCGTAGAAGATTTTCTAAAGGAAACTAGTCCAATAACGTCTCATGAGATTGGATATTAAAAAGATAGTCAACTGTATCCGTAATTACAGAGTTGTTGTAGTTACTTATGCTCACTCGTCTGACAGTAACATCAACCTAAGTCCTCGAAATTCCTCGTGGCAAGGAGCACAAGATTACCCCTGTCGTTGGCAACAGCCTTGAGCACCTTACAGGTGACAGTGCGACTTAGACAAATTCCAGCCCCGATTTTGACGGAGAGAAACTGAGGGGCGGGTGCGAGGGTTTTCCACCCTTCTCCTCTTTCACCAAACCAAACGAGAGGACTTTTTGCTCGCCGCATGTTTAGAGTGCCACCATGCCGCCAAAGGATATTTGAATGATTGCTTTATAAATCAAAATGCCGCACCGACACTATACATTTAAAAACATCCATGCCTTCTTCGGAATTCGACCCCGGGCCCTTTGGTACGGAAGTCAGCGAAGCTAACCATTAAGTCGGTTGGACAGCGTAATTACAGAGCAGCAGATACTATCGTCATCGCATTTTGAGCAAAACGAGGCATTTACACGAAACATAATTTACACGAAACATAATTTGCACGAAACATAGTTTACACGAAACATAGTTTACACGAAACATAATTTACACGAAACATAATTTACACGAAACATAATTTACACGAAACATAATTTACACGAAACATAATTTACACGAAACATAATTTACAAGAAACATAATTTACACGAAGCATAATTTACACTATATACTGCAGAATATATACTTTACCTTTTGGAGTTATTCTTACCATAATCTCAATGTCATGGTAGCATAGCAACAGAATGGACTTACCTCTCTCACTTTGCGATGAACGAGCACCTTATGCCACTGGTTATCGTCGAAGCGCACTTTGGCTGGCTTTAGAGATTTCTCCACAGAGCTGGAACCCAAGTGAATGACGAGAAGAATTCCGCCGTCTCTCAGGGCGAGCAGAAGGTGGTCTTCTCCTTTGCCCATGTACAGCAGGAGTCCACTCGGTTGTCGGGACTTGAAAAAGAGAGAAATTTGGTCGCTGGAACTGAGGATGGGTTCAGAATGGAGGGACTGAAGGTCATAGCCAAGATATTCGGAGCCGCGAAATGTTGCCTCGGCGGGCGTCCTCTCTGCAAAGAGAAAGAATTTTGGTTTCAAGCCTACTGTAAAGGGAAAAAGAATTTCATGCATTTATACAAAAATGAAAAGGATATTTGAATGATTGCTTTATAAATCAAAATTGTATAATTTGAACGATACCTACATCGCTTGATTTTTAAACACTTTGAAGGAAATCGCATCGAGGTGTTTGTTATTTTCCGGTGATGGAGTTGGTGTTCTGATAGAATACAGAAGATTGCTATTTGAAGGAAAAATTTTGTTGTTTACCTTATGCGAAAGCGATCCCGTGAAACAATTCAAATCTTCCTTCTGAGTAATTAAATATTTTCCCAATTGAGTAAGCAAACAACTAACTCTTTACGATGAAATAATATCAGCTGAAGATTTATTTTTTCCCATCTAACTTTAAATAGTTCATTTTAACTCTTTCGCATCGAAGTCGCCCTAAACGCCCGAGCATTCAGACATCAGCTGGACGCCGAAACCCCTGAATAATTTCCTATCCAGTGCTTTCCCCCATCACGTTACTGCATTACTCATTGCTTTCAGGTGTTGTTAAATCACATGTCAATCATCCTTTTGAAGCTACTAAAAGTAGCTTCCTTGTTTCCTTTGTTCCTTCCTTTCCTTTGTTTACTGTCAGTGTTTAGCTTTTGTTGCCCAAAGTTGCAATCCCGTCCCAAGGGGGAACTTCACAGAGTGTCAAAGCGTCGAAGAAAGAAGTTCTCGCTTTACTTAAGTAAGGCTATTGTTAGCGCTGTAGTATTCAACTTGTCATGGGGGAAGGAAAAGCATTCCAAGAGAAATTCTTAGATACGGGCGTTTTCGATGTTTGGGGGATTGAGATTTTGCCCTCTCTCGATGCGAAAGAGTTAAAAAGCTCTTTACTTACATATTAATTTTCAGGAGGACTAATTTTGAACTAGTAGGTGTATTTTACAGCGTTCAGCTCAAAATGTGTCGCCTTCCAAAAATTAAGGAAGAGGATGTTTTTCAAAGCTCACCATTACGAAAATGTCAGTAACATTTAAATCCACAGTCTATATGCATGACAGCAATAAAGCTTAGTAAAATATATGCAAAAAAAATAGCTACCACATTTATTTCATAGAAATAAATACTTATATAGAAATTGGAGGAAAAAATGCAAAAACTTTTGTTCCCGCATGTTGATCTTCAATTCTTATTAGCAATTTCGTTCACAATATCCAGAAGTCGTTTACCCGATTTGTCAAGGCGATCGAATGGATGGAAATAGGGATGTCACAAGCTGATGCTACTAGATGTCTCAGTGTCTCTCAAAGTGTAGTTCGCCGACTATGGAATCAGTTTAATTTCGAAGATTCTGTGTCTAGATGACATGTTCCAGGCAGACCAAGAGATACAACACCTGCGAGAGACAGTTATTTAGCTCTTCGGAAAGAGGAACGAGCAATATTACTGTACTAAGCTGATGGCAGATCATTTAGTGGCAACAGGAACAAGAATCTCAGCTACTACAGTGCATAAATACCTGCACATTACAAGTCTGCATGCAAGACGACCAGTTGTTTGTGTCCCATAGACCTGAGGACATAAAGGTGCCGAGCAAGAAAACACGTCTCCTGGACTGGTTAACAATGCGTGTCTGTTCTCGTCACAGACGAGTCTAGGTTCGCACTGGAGAGTGTCAGCGGATCTGGTCATCAGCGTATCTAGAGGGAACCACGCACCAGATACAACTAATCCCACATTGTGGAAAGACACAATTATAGAGGTGGTGGACACGGAGTACTAAAGATCTCGGAGATGGACATAAAGCAGCAGTCTATCTCCCAAGGTAGTCCCTAAGATGGTCTATCGAATTCAGATCTGAAGATTGAGCTGACCATTCCGTTCGCTGCATTCTGTGACCTTCAATATATTTTTCAGCGGCATATGAGAGAACATATTGATCAAGTAATCATCTCAATATCTCACCGGTCAAAGTTCTTCTATGGAACACATGCAGATCAGGGTAACAGCGCAAAGTATGACGCAGGTCAAAGTGCAAAGTGGTTTGATCTGGGATATCTTTCTCACTGATTTGCGTCACACTTTGCGCTCTGCATCACACTTTGTACTTTGACCTGCGTCATACTTTGCGCTGTCACACTGATCTGCATGTGTTCCATAGAGGAACATTGACCGGTGTGAGATATTGAGATGAGATCCTTGATCAATATGTTCTCTCATATGCCGCTGAAAAATATATTGAAGGTCACAGAATGGAGCGAACGGAATGATCAGCTCAATCTTCAGATCTGAATTCGATAGACCATCTTTGGGACTACCTTGGGAGATAGATTGTTGCTTTAAGTGCTCCTCCGAGGTCGTTAGATGAGCTTGAACAAGGATTACTCCATGTCTGGTCGTTGCTTCCGATTTCACTGACCGACAACGTAATAGACAGCACGGAACGTCGCTGCCGCCAATGTACGAGGGCATTTCGAAAAGTAAAGATACACGTACGCCAGAGGAAAAGAAAAGTTTTGGTGAGCAAGTTGGCAACACAAATGTTAACCTTAAACCGGTAGCTTTCTCCTCGCGGTCGTTCGGCATTTCAACGTTGAGTCTGGTTGGAGTGGGTCGTGTTTAAAATGGCTGCGACGATTCAGAATCCCGCCAAATGCGAAGTGCGCTCCGTCATACGTTTTCTTGATGCAAAAGGTCAGCGACCAGCGGATATTCACAAAGAAATTGTTTCTGTTTATGGGAACATTATAAATCGACAAAATGTAACGAAATGGTGTCGTCATTTCTCTGAAGGTAGGACCGATGTTCATGACGAACAAAGAACAGGTCGGCCATCTGTGATCTCTGATGCCCTTCTTCAGAGAACAGAGGAAGCAATTCGTGTGAATAGACGTCTCAAATTGAAAGAATTGCTACAGATTATACCGAAAGTGTCAATGACAACTCTTTATGAAGTTCTGACTGTCAAGTTAGGGTACAGGAAATTGTGTGCGCGCTAGGTTCCAACAGGCGGCAACCTTCTATGACTGTGGGATGCAAAAGCTTGTGCACTGACTTAACAAATGTTTGGATAATGGGTGGATTATGTCGAAAAATATTAAATAATCCAGTTAATAAGATGTAACTGACGTTTTCCAAATAATTTTTTTTAAGGAATGCGAGCCATTGTATCTTTACTTTTCGAAATACCCTCGTATTGCAGCTAGGTGAGGGCACATTCCTTAATATAACTCATTTTTGTAATGTTACTACCCCATTTTTCCTAAAAAAACTGTGATATACTCCAGTCTTGGAACTTTATTTCTCTGCCAACAGTGGAATATTTTGTTGTAATTCATGTTTGTGTTCAACTTCGGAACTATTCTATGTCGCATTCATTAAAGAACTGTTTAGTGAACATGCCCTGTAAATGTTTTGCTTCTATGCTGCTTCATTCTCAAATTCGACACAGAAAACATGCTGTTCCTTAACTTTTGGAGGGTAGTGTATTTTCAGGCATTCCGCTGGATTCGGCATATTGTGAGCAGTGCAATTTCTTTTTAATCGTGGTATTTTTAGATTTTATATTTTTGAAATAATTTGTTTTGGAACTTTAAATGTTTTGAGATGTTAGACATTTTGAGATACGAGAGTCAAGTTTTCAGATTCCAATTTTCTCTTCTTCTTTTGAGAATTTCATCACTTAAACTCATCCTAATTCGATTAAGTATTTATCAAGTAAAATCACAGGTTAACTTATTAAAGTTTTGCACAACTAAATGTTTTAATAACCTATTTAAATGCAATGAAATCTTCTTAAAACGATTATGAACAATTCCGGATAATTTCCTCCGGGCAAGAACTTTTGTAATCGCCTTAAAGAATATGACTATCGATCGTATTCAATTCAGATATTTATTTATGTTCTTAGAAATATACTGATAGAGAACGTCGTTTATGAATAATGATTTCCGTGAGTAATTTGACTGGAATTATTTCATAAATTGACCTCATTAAATTTTAACGTCATAAAATTATTTTACGACGTTATTGGCAGCAAATGGACGGAATCTTTATATATTAGATGTCATTTATCAGATGTTTCGTGAAAGCAAGGCAAAAAGGAATATAACGTTATTTTTTAGAACTGTTTAGTTAAAAATATTATCTTGATTTAAATGTGTGTTACGTGTTAGATTAATTATATATAAATACAAATGTAAAATACTAGTGGTGACAGCAAATTATACGAAAGAAAAAGGAACAAATCTTTGTTATATGCTCGTATTTTATAAGTTTGATTAAAGAACGATTTTGATTTGATGAAGCACATTTATATTTCGGCTTGCGCGGCTTCTCTCAGCGTTGGTTTTATTAAAAAATCTAATGAAAGTTTTAATATAAATATTTGATTAATTTTTCGTTAATATATTGTTATGAATATTATATTCCTACTTTCAAACATTACTGCATATAAATTTCATGCTGATGCTTCACAGAAATATGAACCTAATTTCTTCTTATAATTCTAATTATATTTTATAATCTGATGTACAGTTTAAATAAAATTCATGAGTTCCTCTAAAAACCAAAAAACCGTTTTAATGAATACATGCTCGCATAAAAAGTAAGTTAAAAACAGTTATCGGGCTCTGTTTTTTTTATCGAGAATGGTTACTTACATATTAGATAGAATGTCTTAGTCTTCAGTTTTTTTTAAGCTGAAGACGTGAAAAATGCGCAATTGCCCTCGCCGGGACACGAACCCTCGACCTCTCAAATACACGTCGAGTATGCTTTCATTTACGCCACGAAGGCACGAGGAAATGAGGAAGAAAATACCTTATGTACACCCCTTTTTAAATTCCTACTATTAGCTCACACGTTCCCTATATCTTGTTCAAATTTTCAGTCGTTAATAAAATACTTTTTATTCATCCACTCAAGCTCAAATACATTTTTACTTGACTAGAAGAGAAACACGCTAATGTGACAATCAAAATCGTAAAAAACAACCTTATATTTAGCGTAGGTATAATGAAACACTCAATCGATTTCGAGGGCAGCTAAAGGTCCCTCCTCATCAGGAGAAAGAAATACATAGAAAGAAGAAAATAGGAATCACAGAAACACGTGGTGCTTATCAGCACTGCACGTGGTTATAACTAGATTTTTAATCAGAGTTGCACTGGCCGCCTACTTTTACTGAGCCAGGCTGTCTGATCAAGCATAGAAATATTAGCGAAGTTAAAATAAGGAGCGAGGGGCAAATGCACATTACGCTCAAAATCTGAACTTCAAATAAAAACATTTTTACTTCCTTGTACGAAGTAAAAAGGAAGTATTGTAATCCCGAAAAGTATCAGGCAGCATATTTCAACGAAAATATCCATTTTGACCTATATCGAATGCAATATAACGAGGTTTTTGCGTGACATCTGTGCGTAAAGACAGAATAAAAGACTCTTTTTCTCCAAAAAATTATAAAGCTGCTTTAAAATGAATTCTGAAGAGAATTTTGAGTGGCGTCTGTACGAACGTATGTGCGTACGTATCTCGCATAACTCAAAAACGAGTAGTCTCAGAACGTTGAAATTTTGTATATAGGACTGCTATAACATGTAAATGTGCACCTCGTATTTTGGTTGAATCGGCCGCACCGAAAGTATATAAATATATTTATATATGTATCCACTCTGTTACCCAGCTCAGTGATCTCAGTTTCTTTACTCTTGTATGTTTGTAAATTGTGCATTTGCTTTAAAAATGATTGAATTATGCTGTTCTTATCTTCCGGTTAAGGTTTTTATACCTTTAGTAAATCTGCAAGCAACATTTGTACAATTATCAACGATTTAAATGCTGTTTAAGTGCGGTTAAGCCTTAACTTTTAATTAACATGGTGGACATATTTGTTTACATTTGAAGCAGCAGAATAGTAGATTTGTTGCCAATCGAGAGAGACTAAGCTTCGCAACAACAAAGATTACGCCTTCATTTATTATTGCTAATTAAATCATGCTTAATCCTTTCTGGAATTTTTTCGAGGAAATAAGTGTTTAAGATTTACTTCGTAATTTTTAATATAGATATTTTGAGTTTTTATGTATTTTTGCCTTGTAGCGAAATGAGAAGTACTAAATCGTCTGTGAAAAACTGTTTCTTTTTTGTTTTGTTTGCTTAATTTCTTTTATACATCGTTCTAGATATATTAGAGTATTTGAATAGAACATGTGGCAACGATTAGATAATTCTTCAAATGATATAAATTTTGTTCATTCTGAGTGAACTAAATATATGAACGAAATATAACGCTCTTAATTGAACCTAGCCCCAGATTGTCGCTATGGTAAATATATATAGTGAATTTTTTAAAGAGTGCATTTATTCTATTGTGGTTTATGCGCTATCGACAAAGTAGATTTAATTCAATCCAATAATTGTAAATGAAAAGCAAGAAAAAATGCGTATAATTTAATATTCTGTACAAGGAAGTCATGTGGTGTACACATCAGATTTTTTTAATGTAATTAATGACACTTGATGTTAATACAGTTTATTCACATATTAAAAGTTTTTAATTTTTAATTAATTTTTTTGTATTTTTTAAATTTTCCTTTGTTGACCTCAGTAGGAATTGAGGTTAAATTTTTTATTTATTTTTTAAAATTTACTTGCTAAATGGCGACTAGCGATTTAGATACCCAACCAACAAATCCTGGCGGTAACGAATTATCGTCTACCACCCTACAAAGTGTATTTGTCTCACCTTCCTATACTTCAAATACTTTAAACCTGAGTTTTAACGTTAATAAGAACTTAACTTTAAAAAAAAATAAATGAAAACTTTACATTCCTACCTATATCCCTACAAAATAATACAAGGTGATTCTTTTATAATTGACTAGGCTGCAGTTTTGTTAAAAAGTATCCGATTTAAATACGGTGAAATGTATTTCTTCCGCCTTCTTAGCGTGCCTTCGTGGTGTAGTGGTCTGCATGCTGGACGCATATTCCTGAGGTCCGTGGTTCGATTCCCGGCGACGGCGTTCCTCAATTTTCATCTTTCCTGTTTCCAAAATACGTAATGTCTCTATAATCTTTTTTATCAGGCGCCACTGTAGTATCATTAGGTTTTTTTATATGCTGAAGACATCAAAAATGTGCAGTGCCTTCGCAGGGACTCGAACCCTGGACCTCTCGAATGCGCGTCGAGTATGTTTCCGTTTGCACCACGGAGGCAGGCGGAAAGGAGGGAGAACATACAAAATGATGTAAACTAAGAAAGAATTGCAAAAGTTTCGAATGTTTATGCATCTGGACTATATGCAACAACATCGCCTCAGGCTTTTAATTATTTGAACTGATTTATTTCACGGTGTAAGGAAGAACACAGCAAAATTTCTTAAAATTTTATTTGTAACTAGCCAGTCCTTCTCATTAGAATATATTTACTGAATTTCCTTTCTTTATATTCAGTTTTTCCGACATGAAAATTAGAAAATTACGTTTTCCAGAGCAAAGGTAGATAAAAAATTGTGAATTTGATCCTTCTTGAAAACTCTCATAAAATCAAAACTCATTCTATCAGATCATCAAATATGGATCAATGGAACACTTAATCAATAATTTGGGAGTTTAGAGCAAGCGAAGTTTAATTTACAGACCACGGAACCAATGATTATACACGCTTTTTCGGTTATTAACGATTTTCTATACTTGTTGTTTTTAACTATTCTCTCATCATTCTTAAATAGTAAAAGACATTTTGCATTGTAAAATCATCAAGATAAGTTTGAAACTTCTTTGAAAGTTGAGCAAAACGTAAGAATTGAATGATAGATTAGAATTTTGAAAATATATTGATTACTAGACTTTAGAAAATTTTATTTAAAATTGTTTGAAGGCTTTTCAATCTATTTAATTAAATTAATATGATAAATTAATTTTTAATGGTTTATTCAAAATCTTTCTTCTGGTTTGGTAACACACACACTCTTTACCACTAAAATCATAACGTTTTAGAGTTTAAAATTAATTTTTACAAATATGCAAATAAAATAATTATAAATTTACTATAATTTAGACGAATTTGGCTTATCACTTTAAATGTCCGAATCACTTTGCAGATTGTTGCATCCAAGTATTATCGCACTGTATTTAAGTATTTAAAGAAACTAAATAATGAAGAATCTACATGAAATGTATGTATATTTTCTCGCACTGTATGTATATTTCTCGCACCTTTTCGCACTGTTGTCATCAAGTTTTGAATAACATAGTGCTCCACTCGAACATAGGCACCTGTAAGCCCCTAATTCGGAATTCATTTTACTGTCTATTTCATATTTTGTAAGAATTTAAAGAATTTTTATTAAAAAAATCAACAATTTCAAAGCGAGCAGTGGCAACACTGTAGAGAATAAAACATTTTTATCTCCAGCGCGCAAGCCTGTCTATCGGAAATTCTAAAATATGCTGTTTTTAAGTATTTTTAGCAAAACGTGGCGTTAACCCAAATGCTCTCAAAACGTGTATGTGTTTGTAAATGAAATAAATAAATAAATAAATAAAAGCCTGAAATATTTCAAATTTTAAATTACATTAAAGGGACATTTTTGTAACAATTTTTGTGTTACCTTTATTTATTAAATATCATGTTCTTCGCATTTAAACCATAAGATTCAGTTCAAGAGTAATATTGCAAAGTAATTTAAAATTATAATTTTCCATACACAGTTTCGTGAGCTGGATATAAAAATGTTTTATTCTGTATAACGTTGCCACTGCTGGCTTTGAAATCGTTGAGTTTGTTAATCAAAAATTCATTAAAATCTTACAAAATATGAAATCGATAATAAAACAAATTCCAAATTTCAAATTTGGGCTTCCACATGCCCATATTCACAGGAGTGTTACGTCATTCAAAATTGGATGGGTCTAGGTACCGTTGTTTTATCATAATGCAAGAAACATAAATACACTAATGCAGATTCTTCAGTCTTTAATTTCTTTAAATATAAAGCAGGATTCTAATATTTGGTGGTAGCAATTTAAAAACTGAAACAACGCTTGTAATGAATTAACGCAAAATGCCAAAACCAAATTAATAAGCGTTCTGCGCAAATTGCTCCCTTTGGACTAAAAAAAAGAAAAATCTGATGTGTACACCACGTGACTTCCTTGTACGGAATATTAAATTATACGCATATTTTCTTGAATTTATTTTAAACTTATTGGATTGAAATAAATCTACTTCGCCGACAGCGCATAAACAACAAGAGAATAAATGCATTCTTTAAAATTCACTCTAGTATTTGTTTACCATAGCGACACTCGGGCGCTAGATTCACTTAACAGTATTAATAATTATATAACAGTTAACTTATATAATAATTATATAACGGAAACTAAGTTAACTGTTATATAATCCAATAATTATATAACCGTTAACTTATATATTTCGTTCATATTATAACTCATAATGCACAAAATTTATATCATTTAAAGAATAGAATTATCTAATCGTTGCCACATGTTCTATTCAAATACTATAATAAAGCTAGAACGATGTATTAAGCAAATAAAATAAAAAGGAAACAGTTTTTCACAGACGATTGAATATTTCTCGTTCAATCGATTCAGTTCTCACTTCGCGAGAAGGCAAAAATACATAAAAACTCAAAATATCCGTATTAAAAATTACGAAATAAATCTTAAACACTTATTTCCTCGAAAAAATTCCAGAAAGGATTAAGCATGATTTAATTCGCAATAATAAATGAAGGCGTTATTTTTGTGTTGCGAAGCTTAGTCACTCTAGATTGGCAACTAATCTACAATTCTGCTGTTTGAAATGTAAACAAATATGTTATTTAAACTTAGCCACAATTAAACAGCTTTTAAATTGTTGATAATTGTACAAATATTGCTTCCAGAATTACGAAAGGCACAAAATCTTTAACCGGAAAATAAAAGCAACATTATTCAATCATTTTTAATCATCATAATTAATAATACACTACTGTATAATTTAAAAAGTTTTTCCCCACGTTATTAATTTTGTGTAGGTTCCCAGTTGACCACAGAATACACGTCCAAGTAGTTTAGTCCATACGTTTTCTATCATTTTCTCCGAAGTCTCATGATCTAACGCCAAATTACTTTTTTCTTTAGGGGTGCGTTAAAAATACATTTTCAATCATATCTTCACAGCCAAAATATTGGTAATATTCAGGTGAGTGTATCAATGATGCTATGATGACCGCATAAGGCCGAAACGGATTTGGCGGGATAAACTAACTAAAGCTAACTAAATATGGGTCGTCTAATTCAGTGGTGCGCAAACCTTTTTCGACTGCGACCCCTTTTGTAGAGAGAAAATTTTTGCCGACCCCTAGAGATAACTGTTCACAAATAGGATGTATATTTCGCGCTTTTCTTTCGTTTCATCGAATAAAAACATCATCATATCTGACTCATATTAATTTTATTTATAATTTAAAGAAAATACTTTTTGTATAACACAAAAATCAGTAAATTGCCCTTTAATGAGACGTATGTGGCTGCAAGTTTCTAATTATCTCATCGATGTTTGGATGTATGTTGTTAATTGCAATTCGCATATCATCTTCAGGGTTTAAACGCGAGCGGTATTTAGTTTTTATTGAAACTAGTTTGCTAAATTCAGGTTCACATAAATACGTTGATGCAAATTGTATTAACACTCTGATGGCAGTTTTGCATAAAACGGGATATTGGTTTTTCACGGATAGCCAAAATATTTGGCAAGGCTGAGTCTTAAATTGATTTCGTAGAGTATAATCACTAATTAGATCTATCAATTGCTCTTTCTCACTAATTTGAAGAGTTGAACTGCATATGTCAAAGGAAAATGGATCCCGAATCCAACCAAGATCGTTTTCAGGAAAATCCTCGAATCTTCTCGAAAAATTTTCCTTTAACTTTTCAATGTGAATGGAAATGATGTTTTTAAATGTAAATATATGCATATTATTTTCCTTGATAAAATCGTTAAAGCAAGGGAACATGTCGGTGTTGTTTTTATTCAGTTCAGTTTGCCAGAGACTAAGCTTATTCTTAAAAGCTTCAATTTTACTGCCTGAAGTTATGATAGTTAAATTCTCACCCTGGAAGCTCAAATTTAAGTCGTTAAGTTTTTCGAAAATATCAACTAAATAGCTCAGCTTTCCTAGCCAAACCTCATTGATATAATAACTTGCCAATCTATGTTTCTTTTCGATTAAAAACATGTACACTTCATTTTTCAAATCAAATATCCGTCGTAGTATTTTCCCACATGAAAGCCATCTGACTTCGGTGTGTAACAGTAATCTCTCATACGTTGAGCCCATCTCAAAGTATTGAAAAGAGACGGCTGTTGTGGCTGTTGCATTTAATGTAGTTAATTGAACTAACAGTGTCTTGTAATATGTTGTGCAACTCTTCATCCATATCTTTGCAACAAGAGCTTGCCGATGAATCATACAGTGATTAAATACCATATGAGGCGCCACCTTCTGAATTAAGCCTCTGAGCCCTTTATTCGAACCTGTTAATGCTGCAGCACCATCAGTACAAACCGCAACACAGTTTGCCCGGGTAAGGGACTTTGTTTCAAAATATTCATTTATTACTTCGAATATTTTTTCTTCAGTTGTTTTTTCTCCAAACTTTTGCAACATAAAAACGTTTCTGTTATATCTTTTAGGCATAATGCATTTCATAAAAATTTGGCGACCCCCAAAAAACTTCTGGCGACCCCTAGTTTGCGCACCACTGGTCTAATTAATGTGACATAAACAGAAAATAAAATTAGCAAAGCAACAATTTTGGCGCATTTGGCATAGATTTTAGTCAAGACTCTATCAGTTTCAAGGGCAAATAGGTGCAGGTCACTCTTCATCAGGAGCCAAAAAATCTGCAACAAAAGGAAAGCGCGGTTGTTACCGTACCCAACAGGACTAAAACGAACGAGAACATAGCGGCATCTATCGAAAGAAATAGGAACGAAAATTGAAAAATTAAGTTAATAGAATTTTAAAAGCGTTAGGAAAGACTGGATTGTAGTTAAGGTTATTAACTAAACAAGCTAAATCTTTATGGATTTGAGCAGCTTCAAGAAAATCCAGTCACCGATTGGCTTTTTGGATAATTTAGATTTTTTTTGTATTTGAAGAGGCTTCCTGGATAACTTTTGCAGAATCATAATTAAAATTATG